GCAATTTTCAGTGATGTTTTGGGTCAACAGAAAACAGTAAACAACTGGAAAAAGTGTGGTGTTCAGCTTAACTTAAAATCATCTTAACTGGCTGCTTTTCATTCAAGATACAATAATCCAAATAGTATTGTACTGAGAAAATGTTGCCCCTCTTTCCTCATTTTGCTCTTAAAATGTTTATATTAAAAGGTGCATTGTGTAACTTTTCCAATGGAGGGTCCATCACCTGCTCGTTTCTATAGATATGTTATTGCTCACCCTAGAATGTTCCACAGTGTGACATTAAACTTTATATTTATTCAATTACAGGTGGATTTATAGCTTTAAAATGCCTAGAAAAAAAGACATTGTGACTGTGAGTGGGGTCGCCTCTCCACAGATCTGACCTGTAACTTGGTCTGTTTTGGCCTCCGTGAAGCTCGAAAGGTGTAATGCCATACTGTGAGACATTCAGGACATAGCAATAACATCTCCATGGAGAAAAGCATCTGAATCGCTCTCTGCTTGGATCTTTTTTTTTTTTTTTTTTTGTAAGAATCAAATGTCCGTCTTGATCCATCACTAACTGCACATATGCATTTCCTTTCATTTATCTTATTGTGCTGCCATTAATATTGCGATTGTCAGAAATGATCTACAGTCCCCTCGAGCCTGTACTGTTATACAAGTTTTGATCTGCATTGGAAACAGGAAGGAACACTGTACTGAACAATGCTCCAGCTTCCATCCCAATTAATAATTCCTGAGTACCTTGAATAGTACATGATCAGCCTGCAGGTAGTCACTGGCTTGATCTCCTCTGACTTGTGCACTTGGAAATGGCCCAGATTTGCTGAATGTTGCTGAAATGTGAGTGGAGCAGTGGTGGAGTTGGGTCAGGCCTGTGTGAGGTCCTTTATTTAATGTCGTCCAAATGCCAAGTGGCTCCCCTGGGCTTTGAGGAGACGGGCTCCAGGATCAGCAGCCAAATACTAAATGAACAGCATCTGTGCACACACTGGAAAAAAGGAGGAGGCTACAACGAGCACGGGGGGGGGGTTAAAACACTTTCCCGCCACTTTTGAGACTTATGTATTATCAACATGTTACTCTTTAAAAGGTGCATTGTGTAACTTTTCTGGTGGAGGCTCTGTCAAATGCTTTCCTCCATGGAGATGTTATTGCTTTGTCTGGAATGTTTCAAAGTACTATCTTCATCGAGACCAAACCAGATCAAGTTACAGGTCAGATCTGTGGATGCCTGTTTTTTTGTATTTTGAGCTATAAAATCAATGTAATTAATATAACATAGAGTTGTTTAATGTCACACTGTGGAACATTCCAGGCAGAGCAATGACATCTCCATAGAAACAAGCAGGTGATGGACCCTCCACCAGAAGTTACACTGAAGCTCACTGAAGCTCCACCAGAACCTCACTGTGACTACAACATAAACCATAAAATAAACAATTAATAAAATTCATTCAAATAAAGATGATCCAATTATTTGTTATGTTCCGCAGTATCACATTAAACTTAACTTAAACCAGGTGTCACAACAATACAATACCATACAATGCACATTTTTAAAGCTGCTGAATCTTTCAATAACAAGACGTCCACAAACAGCAACTCATTTGATATTATTTAATTTATGACATGAATGCACGGCCTGGTAGTTTAAAAACAGAGAGGAGCAGACAGAGCAGAGGAGCATTGTGTAACTTTTCTGGTGGAGGGTCAATCAAATGCTTTTCTCTATGGAGGCTGCTTTGTCTACAGGTCAGATCTGTGGAGAGGCGACCCACTTCCAGAATGCCTGTTTTTCTACATATTTTTGAGCTATAAAATGGTAAATGGTCACATTTTTACACAGCGCTTTTCCACCTTCAAGGCTCTCAAAGAGTTTTACGTCAAGGAACCACTCACCCATTCATACACACACTCACACACCAGTGTACGCAGACCCTAGGGGCGAGGTGGGTTAAGTTGCCCAAGGAAACAACAACAGCATTCATCTCTGGGAGCTGGAAACACACTGCCTGTGGGTCAGTGGATCTGACACTCAACCAATGATGTTTATGTCGAGAGCGGGATTCAAACAGTCAACTTTTGGATCAGTGAACATACACTACCAACTGAGCTAGACAAACAAGCAGGTGACGGACCCTAAACCAAAAAGTTAGAGTTACACAGATAGTTACTTGAGTTGTTTGCCAATTTTGCCCACCTCTGTCCTAAGCAGACAGGAGCACTCTTCCATCATCAGGTAGAATATTAAACAAATAACAAAAGAGGGAAAAAAAAATCAATGTACTTAAAGCCCCTTCAAGCAGCATTAGCACAGGTCCTTCCCCCTGAAGGAGCAGAGAAGCACTGACCTAAATCAGAACTGCTTTCAAAACTATGGGAGGACGAGAGACTGAAAAGGCCACTTAAGGATGCAGAGAGCGTCCATGTGGTGCTGCGTTATAATCACCCCAATCAAGACCCCATGAGAGGCTAAGCCCCGCCCCGTCCCGCTAATCCCACACAGCAGCAGCAGTTTGGATCAGCATACGCTCTTATACTGCAATCAAGGCGAACTCCATCAGCCTGCATGACTCACAACACTCACAACAAGAAGATGGTGCATTTAAAGTGCACGTAACTTTTCTGGTGGAGGGTCTGCAACCATGGAGATGTTATTGTTTTGCCTAAAAAGTTATACAGTACAATATTAAACACATCAGTCTCACATTTATTAAATTACAGGTGGTTTTATTGCTAAAAAATAACTGGAAAGAGAGACATGATTGTGAGCGGGGGTCGCCTCTCCACTGATCTGACCTGTAACTGGTCTAGTTTGGTCTCCATGAAGATAGAAAGTAGGGATTAGGGGTAAGAAAAAATATTTAAATATCGATATATCATATTGTTTAATTTGATGATACGGTATTGATATGGTGGGCTGCTGCATCGATATATATCGCCAAGAGTATTTTTTTGGTATATTTTACAAAATAATTTTGGTGAAAGAGCTATAGTTGTGATGCTTGTTTAGAGAAAGTTCACTTTTTATAGGATACACTTGACATTTTCACTGTTTTGAGTAAAATTAGTGTTTTTCATATGAACTTAGTGGTTTAATAAAGACTTTTACTATCACAACCATGATTTAGGCTTTGATTTTTACTCAACCGTATCCAACTGGTTCAAAATATATCATATCGAATCATACTGCATTGAAAGTGCACTGTATTGAAAACCATGTCGTACTGAGGTCTACATATCGAGATATGTACTCTATCAGCAACTTCTTAATGATAGCCAGCCCTGGTAGTGATGGAACACAACGAGATACAAGGTTGGGTTCACGGGAAAAAGACAAGGTGAGATTTCCTAATATATACATTTTGTGAGTCAGTTTCCAATTTTGGCATCACATTTTTTTTATTTGATTTAATATTTGTGTTTCCATTCTAGCATTGCTATTTGAAACTATAAGAAATGTAACTCAACTCACTAATATGTAACCTTTTTTTGTCCAGTCCAAATAAACACTTATACACAAAAAAAAACCCTTCAAGATCATTTTTCTCATGTGTGGATTATCTTGTAGCAACAGAAAGGTTTATCATCATATTGTGAAACATTCCAGACAAAACAATAATCTCCACGCACATCTCCATCCATACACAATGCAACTTTAAAGAGTGTATATGTGGCTGCAAAATGACCCAGCAGACATGTTCTCACACACGTGCTGCTGAACACTCAAGTTTGAATGTGTATATGTAAACAAGGAATTATCATTATGGTCAGAGCCACACTTGAGTATGGTTTGGGAGCGTAGATTTATGGTTATGATTTATGGACAAAAAATAAAAAGACCAGGATCTTAGAGCAGGTTAATATGAACATTTTAAGACCAAAATGGTGAGCAATGTAAAGCCAGTTGGAAACAGAGTCGATGGAGCCAGAAGAGCCACCGTGCTCACTTCCTATTTGGAACTTGGCGGCTAGAGGGTTAGTTATGTCCATTTATATATACAGCGTATGCTTGATACAGTGTAGTCCTTCAGTATATAGTATGGTTTGTGTTAGAATCGTCATAAATACATTCAGCAAAATAAAGACTGTAGCACTGTCACACTTCACAACAGACAGAATAAAGACAATACCAAAATAAAACCACTGTAAACATATTTCTACTGTGTGTGTAGACTGTTCTTTGGGCCTATATCACCTTAACTGTGCCAAAAGATGCACGTGGGATTAAACCAGTGGCAGAACATAACAAAGTAAAAGTAGTAAAATACTATAGCCAAGTATAAATATAAATATATCTTTACTTCAGGTATCTGTACTTCCTACTTTAACAGAACTGCAAAGTAAAAGTATGTTTTATTATAGTTTCAGACCTGCAGAAAAGGCGGAGGGTTTATTTGTAACACATTCATAATTTGGGCAAATAAACAAAAAAATAAAAACAGCTGGAATAAAAATATCAGTTCAATTGTTTCTGCTGAACAAAAGTCACACAATTTTATTTAATATACCTCAAAATGTGTGCAAAATCCTTTAACTTTTTCTTTTCATCTTTAAGTATGTTTTTAAATGAGAATAAAAATATTGATTCATTTGTTACTGCTGAACAAAATTCTGCACCAATCTCGATGAAAGTCACACAATTTGAAGCTTTAATATACTTCAAAATCTGTGTAAAATACTTTTACTTTTTCCTCTTTAAGTATGTTTTTAAGTGAGAACTTTAATACTTGCATACAATGGGATACTTAAATTTTTACTTTTGCTTTTTTGTTGTTGTTTGCTTTCGCTTCAGTGTCTGCACTTTTTAAGAAACTAAATTGAGTACTTCTTCCACCACTGGATTAAAAGTTATCCGGCTCAATAATGCAAACTGTCTATTAGGGGGAACTAATTGCAGGTATGGTGTTTTAGTGGTTTATAAATGACAGGGCAGCCAGGTGTGTCCACTCCCTGAGCAGGTAAACGTGTCATGTGCAAATGGAACTCACCATTGAGCCCGTTGGGGATGCTCCTGTGATGATGGGGCGCTGACAGATCGTCCATAGATCGCCTCATGTTGGGCCCCAGCTTACTGCCCTCCGCCCCGGGTTTGTGTATGTGATTATGGTTGTGGTGGTCCGGACTCCCCGCGCTGCCCGTACTGGAGGTGCTACTCCCATCCCCGACGTCCCTCACCGTCCCGCTGCCCCCGTTCAGGTTGCTCAGGCTGGACTGCGAGTCTATGGAGCTCCGTGAACCCGCACCGTTCCTCTCCTCATCCAACATGAGTATAATTTCTTTCAGTTCGTTGTTTTCCCTTAACACGCTCTCCTGGTTGGACTCGAGCTCCTTTAACTTCATCATATAAGCTCCAACTTCTTTCCACATGGCGCTGGCTGTGAACCTACCGAACCTTTGCCACTCCCGAGACAGCTTCTTGCCCTTTTGTCGATCGTCGTCCAAAAAGCAGCAAAGTTCTCGCAGCTCGTGGTTGTCATCTTGGAGTTTTTGGTTGATGTCCTTTAAACTCCGGATCTCGTGGAGGTGCACCTGCAAGCGCCTGTTGATGTCTTTCATCATGTTGCCATGCTCAATCATCAAGTTCATTTTCTCTCCGTCGACCCTCCGTAACCTCCGGACCAGCTCCTCTTTGCTGCACCGGAGCAGGTCATCGTCGGACAGCTGACTCAAGTCCTCACACGGACCATCGGACTGGTTCTTAGCCATTCTGGACCAGAGATTATGGTTCGTTTAAAAAAGCACAGCCACTAATTAACTGTCAAAACTCACCCAGCCAAGCCTCAGTTGTGGAATTGTGTTGAAATACAAATACATTGTTCAAAATCTGGCACAATATTACGGAATGCTGATGCGCTGCTTTCAATAGGCCAATTATAGGAATAATATTGAGTAACGCATGGACCAACTGGTTGCTTTCTTCTAAAAATCAGTCTTTTGAGAACTCACATTCCGTTAAAAAATCACGCACTGCCAGTCAGTATCCAAGTACGTTACGAGGTTGTGTTCGTATTCCCTCCGTCTGTCACTTCCAATGCAATGTGCGCCGCGTTCCAGTCATATCACTCCATTAAAAAGAAAGGAAAACATTTGCGCGTTCCTCCTCGGGTCCAAAGTGCGTGTGGCTGGTAGACGGTGCACCTCTGGCGGCCTACTTTATTCACCGGTAGATTGGTTCACATCAGCGCCCGTTCGGATAAGCCTCTTTAGCCGAGAGAGCGAGCGAGGATTCCACTCCACACAGCACTGGCCATCACACAACACCGAGAGCAGGAATTAGCAGCGTGCCCCCTCCTCCTTGTCCAAACACTTGGGTTTGAAATCATTCAAGAGGATTTGAGCCAACACGGCCAATCAAGGCGCGGGAGAGGAGTGGACAGCAGGTAGACGGAGAAATGCGTGAAGCTTCGGAACGCACCAAGCTCAGCCCTCTTAAAGCTACAGGCGCGCTACTACAGGATCATTCACGCTCACTTAATATGTCTACTATTTTACAAATACAACATTGTGCAGTGTGTTAAATAAGTTATAGCTACTTATTCATATGCTAAACTTTAGAAAAAGACGTGCGTGATTTTGGTAATGCGCAATTACGCCTTCCAAACAAATATCTGACGCTGAAATGTGTTTTTACTAATAGATTTGCGCTATTTTTAATATTGCTTTGTGACAAAAAAAAAATATATATATATATATATGTATATATCTCAAAATACAAAACGGGACTCAAGTTGCTCAGAAAGTGTAAACAAACAGGTGCACACATTTTCATTGTAGTGTCACAGCGCCCTCCTGTGTTTGTCAGAAGTAATGGCTGTAAGTGATCATCCAAACGTGTCTGCTGATTGATATTTGTTAAAAGGATATTTCCAATTTCTTTTAAACTTTTTTCCCTTTTCTCCACATGGGCTGAAGGACATTGTACTTGTAAGCAAATTTAGGCTAGTCCTTAAATATTAATTGACCATGGCCATGAGATGTTTTTTATTACTTTTTTAGTTTGAGTTGTACAAATACATTTAAATAAGTATTCCTTATTTGACACCAGTCCCATGCTATTTTCCTCTACTTATTTAGAATTTATTATTACCATTTATATATATTTTTTACTCTATTATTATATTATATTGTGATGTGTGAGCTATGATGCCCAAATAATTCCCTTTGTGGATCAGTAGCTTCTAAGTCTAAGTTAGTTTCTTCACAGGCATAATAATTTCTAAAAATCTTTATGAGAGGCCTTCAGATAGATATAATACTACTTTTGCCACTGAAATCTGTAAAAAGCCATGAGAGCACCTCATTTCAAATAAAGTTTTTAGCCCTTTTCCTCAGCGCATACATTTGACATACAGTACACTCTCCCATGCAAAGACACTGAAAAATGTAACATCTGAAAGAATTCAAAAGAAATAAACATGAATTAAGCATGCTATTATTTTTATTTTCAAATTTGGCCTACAGTTTTCACCAATAGCCTTTCTTTGAGCTAATCTTCTATAAACAACATCATTAGACAAATTTTATCATAATGTTTTGGCCAAATATGGTTATTTTGTAGATGTTTGTTTGTTTTTCCCAATTACTGTTTGTAGTTAGGTTATGGTATTTACTGTATACCTGAATATCTGAATATCTTGAGCAGTCAGTTAGACTTTAATGATGGACTGTAACTTTTCCGGTGGGATCATCTGCTTATCTCCATGGAGATATTGCCTGGCATGTTCCACAATATTACATTACACTTATTTAGCTCCACAGAGACAGAATGTGACACTGCCAGGCCAAGCTACAAGTCAGATCTGTGAGAGGCAAGCCCACTCATAGTAAGAAATCAAGTTTTTAGGTCAATAGAGCCTTTTCACAACAGCCAGAAGTGCCCTGCTGTAGGTTTAAGGAACTTAAACCTACAGCAGTTAATGGTTAGTGGTTTTCTATGGCAAAATGTGTGTAAATGTGTGTTGTATTCTCCACCAGCTTCATACATCTGCCCCATCAGCAAATCTTCAACCAACAAGTTCGACAAAGGAAATAAATTCTAACATGAAGAATTTATCCACAATGTAATCAATGTAAGAAAGATGAAAATTTAAAGCCCATGAACCACAGCATTATTGAACTACTGACCAAAACTAACGTTATGGTAGAGATGTCTAGCCTTCGAACTGCACAAATCTATCTATCTATGCTAATATCTACATTATGAAATAATTTTTAATTTTAATTGTAGAATCAGTCTGAATGAACATGTTACTTCTGTTTTATTAATTACATAACACTAATTTTGTTGAGTAGTTTACTAATGCTCGTCGTTGTTTTCCTTTAAGTTTTCCTCTTTCTTACCTTGATAGTTGTGGATAAAATCTTCAAGGAAGAATGTTTATCCTTTGTGGACCATGTCGGTTGAACATTTGGTGATGAGGCAGATTTATGAAGCTGCTGGAGAATACCACAAACATTTCCACAGACATTTTGCCACAGAAAACCATGCACTGGAAGTTTCAAAACCCTACAACGAGGCACTTCCGACTGTTGTGAGAAAGGTCTATAAAGCTGTTCTCCTGACGGCGGGGTGTCTCTCAGGTGTGCTGAAGCAAGTACAGAGCAAAATTAACACAATTAAACAAAACTGAACAAAATTAAAGAAGTAAAGTACTGTACTTAGGTACAGTACAATACCTAAAATGTACTAAAGTACAGTATTTTAAAGTGGGTAGTTTTTACTTTTACTTCACTATATTGGAGAGCATGTATTTGTACTTTCTACTCGACATTTTTGAACTAACTGAAAAGCCTATGTATTTTTAAAAATTATTATTCTATATATATAATTGACACATTTCTTTGTGGTTGTTTTTTAGACTGGCGTGAATGATGTTGTGGCAGATACAGCAGTATCAAGGTATGTTGGTGTCTAATTTGAAGAGTCGGTTTTAGAGGGTCTTCCAGCAACATCCAGAAAATGAACTTGAGGGTTAAACTATGGCAATGTTTGACCAGATTGAGGATCCATTTGCTACAGTTCCTACAACATACAGACAGGACAGTGTGATCAAAAAAACTTTTAATTTTGTTGAACCTGAGAAAGTGACAGTGGGGTATACAGCATGCTTCTGAAAAAAAGGAGCAAAAAGACTTCTGTCCACTAAACCCAAATATTTTCATTAGGACCCACATCAGAAGTGAAAAACATGTCATCTTAAGGAGAAATTAAAAACATTTTTTTGGAAATGATCACATCAGTCATGCACTGTCTGTTAAATGGTTAAAACTGAACAGGAATAAATACATATCTGGTAAAAGTTTAATTATCAGTACAGTTAATGGTGACCTACCTGAGTTTGGACTGATTAAAAACATATTTGTTGTAAATCCAGCTTTGTATTGTTTTGAGCTTCAGCTGTATATCACTGTTGATAGAGATTATAGGGCATATTTCATTGAAATTCCAAGCATAGCACAAGCAAATGAATTGATCTCATCTGAAAACATTGTAGACTATACTCCATATTACAGTTTTGTTCACAAAGATGTGACCTATGTGCCTTTGAAATATCATCTTGGTGACATCATTGCATCTTATACAGTTTGATCTGGTGGATTGTGCTTCCATTGATATAATGCTTAGCATTTTCTTTGAGAAAATAAATGGTTGGTATTGATAAACTATCTGTGTAAGGCTGTTCTTATAATAAAATTTAATTTTTTTTTTTATTTTCTAAATTAAGAAAAATGTTCTTGGTCTAAAGCTGAAGATAATTCAAAATGTATTTGCATCTTGTTATAAGAAAAAATATAACTGTTTTTAGCAACAAACTCTTGCCAGGTTTAATGTCTTAAAATAAGCAATGTTTTCTTGAGAAAATGTTGTTAGACAAGATATTTTGCCTTTTTAGACAAAAAAATTATAATTTTTTTCTTATAATGAGACAATTTTACTTTCTTTAAATCAACTTTTTGCATTACATTTGTAAATATTTAGTAGAGCATAAAACAAGCTTCACTTTAGAATAGCTCCCACAAAATACTTAATTAAGCAGTTATAACTGATCAATTAATCATGAGTAAGGCTTAACAAATCATTTGTAAATGTTTAGTAGAGCATAGACAAGTCTCCCTTTAAAAGAACATATTGCGTCCATGAAGGGTGGTCGTCATGTGGTAAGCGTTAACACCCCCTGCTTAACCTATTCTAACTACCATGTACAAGTAACTGATCAATACTGGGGAATAACCCCATTAAGAAATGAGTAACAAATCATTAGTTGAGTATGTGGGTTAAGAATTTGATAAATTTGGGTGTAACAATGCTTTTACATATTTAAAGTTGATGAGTAGTAATGAATTAGTAATGATTTACTAATGATGACCAAAGACATTAAATAATGTATTTACTAATGATTAAATCACATAAAAAAATTAAGAGGTAAGTGTGTACAAATGATTAACCAGTGTGTTAAATAATGCTTAACAAATGGCTGTAAGATGACTTCTTCACCATGGACAAAGCATTAACATATACATCTATAAATGATTAACTGATGAGAAATAATTAAGAGTTAACAGTTTACTAATGATTAACAAATGTATAAAATAATGCTTAATAAATGCTTAAAAAGAAGGAGTTATTATAAAGTGCTACCAATTACCTCATGTGCAATCGTAATTTTGGCACACACAAAGCTTAGAGTTTCAATGCTTTTTAATCAAGTTCATAAACATTTTCACTTTTCACTTCCTTTTGCACAATCAGGAAAAATTACCCCAAAAAATTCTAAAGTTGGGTTGATTTCCAAAAATGTTGATAAAAGAAAAACTGATTTCATCTTTGTGAGGCGCCCATGACTGAAGTTTCCGTATTTCGATTGCCTCTTTAATCCAGCGACGATGTTTCTTTTCCTCTGTCCCAATGATGTTTGCTCCATCTCAGTCCATAATGTGCTTCTCTCTTTTACAGTGGGTCCAGTCAAGTGGTAACGGAGGGAAACAGGAGCAGATTTTTGACATTCAAATGTCTCTTATTCAGAAACTAGAGGGACTATTGACATAAGTAAAGTATCAGAATGTAGGAAAGAGTTAACACTCCAACAGGGTAAAGTTAAACCTGTGATATTCTTTCAAGTTGTTGACAAAAAATTTTAAAAACTCATATGTCGGTAACAGAGGGAATTAAATATGCAGCACTTTTTGGGCAATAAATCCAAACAGTGATAACTCTTGGTTCTCACTTACATATCCTTAACAAACTGGTTTGAATATTTGCTTCATATAGTTTTCTACCATATGGTACAAGATTAGGTTGAAAAACCTCTTACTTTTTGACTCATGAGATTTTTTATTAAGAAAGGTCATGGTAACGGAGGGAAAAGTAACGGAGGGAAAATTGTGCAAACAAGTAGAAGGTGCAGGATTTTACATCATTTGTCAGTTTTTTCTTCCAAATACTTTAATATTACTTCAAAATGAAAAGAAACTATTTCTATAAAATATGTCAGTCCTTCCAAGCTAATTTTTATCATTTTAAATATATTTTTTTGAAAAATCATGTATCTTCATCAACAGTTCAAAGATGGAATAACACAAGATATGATGAAATACATCCATTTATTTACATGATTTGCAGGTCTTTGAAATTTGGGAAATAATTTTTGTTCCATGTTTCATACATGGTCTGTTTAAAACTTTAGAACCAAAAATGGTACAGAAAAAAGGTCAACAGTTTCAGAAACTAGACTACATATGTATCTGTTCAATACATTTTTATATCAGATCAATTAACTTGAATTTTTGGCCTTGTTGTTTACTTCTGCTTGACCGGGGCCCCCCAGTTTTTAATTTTGGCCTCTGTGAATTTGAGTTTGACTCTCCTGATGTACATCATTCATGCAGTATTATCTATTTTAATCTTGTTGTTGTTATGTAATCATATGCAAATGTGATCATGTGAAAGCGCTTTGGAACCTCTGTTGTCATGGTAACGCAGTGGGAGTTCTTTGTGAGGTTCCGTGGAAAAGTGTGTAAAGGGTCACAGCACATTCCAGTCTCCAGTCAGAACCACAGGCCTGAAGATGAGTGAGCAGAGCGAGAGCAGCGTCCAGAGCGTCCAGAGCGTCCAGAGGGACGCTGTGCTCCTCGTACAACACCAAAGATTTCTCGTGCACAAACCCATCCTCATTGACTCCAGCCAGGTTTTTAGGTAAGTGACAGGAACAAAACGATGTGCGGTCAGGATTCACCAGAACAAAAGAGAATTTTTGAGCGTCTTTATAAACGGACACTTCCATCTGACGTTATGGACGGACGAATGAAATGTGCAGGAGCTGAGGCTCCAGAGACACAAGAGACATGAGACTTTCCACTGCAAACGTCCAAACACACACGATCAGCCAGAACATCACGACCAGACGAGCCCTGTCCACTGTCCTGTGTCCTCTGACCTCGACCGTCACAGAGGACAAGTCTAAAACCTCTGACCTCGACCGTCACAAGAGTCTAAACGACCTCGACCGTCACAGAGGACAAGTCAAAAACCTCTGACCTCGACCGTCACAGAGGACAAGTCTAAAACCTCTGACCTCGACCGTCACAGAGGACAAGTCTAAAACCTCTGAGCACAGACTCTGTCCACACGTCTCACCTGTCATGTCTCTTCACAACTCACTTCTGCCAAAACACTTTTAGGAAACTTGTCCTCAAACATCTGTCCTCAAACATCTGTCCTCAAACATCTGTCCTCAAATACATGACCCTCAAACACTTCTTTTTAAAAATGGTTCTCAAACATCTGTCTACAAATACTTGTTCTCAAATGTATTATTTTTTTTAAATTCACATAAATCCAGGAGAAACAACTGAAGTGTTGTGAATCAAATCTCAAAGATCCAAAGTCACATCTGGAGACATTTTTGCTCAGCTCTTGCTTCTTCTGCTCCGACATCTGACTGAAGTGTGTTTTTGTTTTTTAGAGCCATGTTTGAACGCTGGGACCATCACGATGATAAAGTCTTCACAGTCGGTGGAATCTCTCCTGAGACCATGTCCCTGGTGCTCGAGTGGATCTACACCAAGTCCATTGTCCTGCGCGCGGAGACAGTCCAGGACCTTCTGTTGGCTGCTGACATGCTGCTGCTGGACCAGCTCGTCCTGCTCTGCTTCCAGTTCATGGAGGAGAACATGAGCCCAGAAAACTGCATCGGCATCTGGAAGTTCTCGGATGTCGTGCTGTCCAGCAAAACTCGGGATTTGGCCCGGAGGTTCATCCTGAGGAACTTTGAGGAGGTGATGGACTGTGAGGAGTATCAGGATCTCACTGGAGAAGAGCTGAGTGGGTTTATAGAAAGTGACCAACTCCACGCCAAAGACGAGACGGTGGTTTTTAAGGCTATTGTGCACTGGACCAACCACAACGTCCAGGAACGCAGAGAGCATTTTCCACAACTGCTGTCAAAGGTGAGTTACCAGTCGTGTATTTTACTTCTGTGGGGTTTTCACTGTTCACACATCGCATATTTACATCACCACGTCAACTTTTATTGTTTTGAAAAGGCTATAATTGCCCAAAACAACATATCCACATGTTTTATAACCTTCACTTTTGTTTTTGACGCTCTGAGTGTGGCCCCAGAGAGAGATCGCTAAATGACTGAAACATGCGTGGATGACTCTAAAACTTCTTCAGGCAGGTTTTTGATGAGGGAATAAAGTTATAAACATGGTAGAAAGCTCCAAAAGTAGATTTTACATCATCCTCCTTCTTTAAACTTTTCACACCAAGATAATATTTGTGTTTCTGAGTCTCACCGGTTTTAAACAAAGATTATACGAGGATTATAGATCGAAAATTAGACTAAACCACAGGAGTTACAAATATTTAGCACCGTATTTGATTTTCACAGTTTTCCAGATGTGAAAAACAGAACTAGTTTGCAGTGAGTCAAAGTTATTCTTACTTACCTTTCGCATTCTGAGCCCAAATTATTCACCACAATGAGTTTTTAAACACTTTTCACAACTCTCACATCCCAGAGAGTTTCATAAATACACAAAAGCGGGACACACAAAACAACACACTACGACTTCACAAACCTGATGTGATGTGCAGTAGTTTCATTAGTGGGATGAACTCTGATTGTGTTGTGATAAAAGGCGACATGGAGATCTAAATATGTTCTGTGTTAAAAGTTAATCCCCCATAGAATCAAACAGCCGCTTTAATCTCAAATGAAAGTACAAACTCTACTGTACTGTGTCCTAAACGTTGCTCTTTTGTCTCTTTCAGGTTCGTTTCGCTGAGATTTCGTGCAACTTCATACATGACAACATTCTCAATAACCCCCTGGTGAACAACATCTCCTGTTTATCCATAATGACAAACGCCTTGGACACCATCTCTGAACTTCTCATCAACCCCGGCGCCCTGCACCGCCTGCACCGCCCCCGACTCCCTGAAGCCGTCCTCTTGGCCGTTGGAGGCTTGAGCAGCTGGAAAGCCACCAATCAAATCGAAGCGTACGACTACAAGGTCGATCGCTGGGTTCACATCATGAACTCCGAGAGGCCCAGAGCGTACCACGGCTGTGTGTTCCTCGACGGCTCGCTCTATTGTGTCGGAGGATTTGACCGACGGGAGTATTTTAACAGCGGGCGGCGTCTGGACCTGGCGACCAACACCTGGCACGAGATGCCCCCCATGAACCACAGACGCTGCTACGTGAGCGTGGCGGTGCTGAACGGCCTCATTTATGCCATGGGCGGCTTCGACGGGAACACGAAGCTCAACACGGCCGAAGTGTTTGACCCCCAGACCCGCTGCTGGTCCCTGATCACCCCCATGAACGAGCAGAGGAGCAGCGCCAAATGTGCCGCTCTGAACGGAAAGGTACGTGCACAGAGAAATATGAGAACAATCGTTAACTCTTCTTTGAATGGTTTTAATGAAACACACTTCATTCATAAAGAACAAAAAACAAACTTCTGAGGAACACGTGTCCTGCTCCAGGACACAGATATTGTAGAAGCAGCTCTCGAGGGAAAATAAGTCCACTGTGTACTGCCTGAATCTAATTATAAAACGTTGTATTGACCGATAATCAGGAAGTCCAGATTAGCATGCTAGTGGTCGTTAGTTTAACTGTCACAGCCAAACTCTGTTTTGATGTCTGAAAGTTGTGACAAGTGTTTATAAACTCACTATTGCGAATAATGAGGACGCTCTGATCACAGAAGGTGAGTGAGGAAAAACTTTGGAGCAAACGGTTTAAAACAAACTAGTTTTGTTTTAAGACGGAATAAATCAGGTACAGAGACTTTAATGACACTCTAACCCCTCAAGGAGCTACAAAGCCCCAATCATTCTTAATAAACTGTTGGTTCATTAGGTGTAGTTATTACACTTAATTACAGTGATACAGAAAATACATTTAATAAAAAAAAGTTTCATTTATTCATTTATTTCATTTATTTATAACCTTTAACCTTTGTGTGTTGTGCAGATCTACATATGTGGAGGCTTCGACGGCTCTCGGTGTCTGCAGACGGCCGAGTGCTACAGCCCCGAAACAAACCAGTGGAGCTTTATCGCTCCCATGACGACCAGACGCATCGGGCTCAGTGTCACCGCCTACGACAACAGCATCTATGCGGTAAGTGCAGAACTACAAACACAACTGAGCCCCAGAGCCTTCAGCTGCAGACAGAGACACGTCCAAGTGTGTCTCATCTCAGTTTATGGACAGACCAGGCCTCATGTGAAGCTCACAACCTCCAGAACTCCCTCCCTGAGCTGCAGAGGCTGCACTAGCACTGACTCAGGATGGTGCAGGTGCTGGGTTTAGGTCGAGACCGTTCAGATCAGAGACATTTTAGGTGTAAAATACTGGATTTCAGCTTTGAACCTGGCAACACAAAAGAGAGAGTCATGTGAGGCTCATTCTGCTTTCTGATTGGATAATTGACTTGAACCAAAACACCAAATTATAAAAACCTGACTTTATGTTTTTGATATTAAGAACAAATCAGTGTTGCAGTTGTTTTCAGTAAAAAACATGTTTATCTCATTTATTTATTTACAGAATTTAACATAAAAATCTTACATACAATTCCTTTAAATCTTGTACCTTTTTATATTTTCGTAGACTCACTCTAAGATTGTTTGGAATGACGTGACATTATTCTCTTGTCCTAACATGTGGGCTCTGTGTGTAGGTCGGGGGTTTTGACGGGACTAAACGCCTCCGCAGCGTGGAAGTCTACAGTCCACGCTCCGACTCCTGGAAGGAGGTGGCGCCCATGAACACCGCACGCAGTTACTTTGGCATCGCCGTCTTAAATAACCGGATCTTCGCTGTGGGCGGATACGACGGCTTCACCACCTTCTGTGTGGAGGCGTACGACCCCCTAGTGGACAGCTGGAGTGAGGTCTGTGACATGGACATCGCCAGGAGCGGCTTAAACTGCTGCGTCATCTCCGACCTTCCCAACATGTCCGACTACACCTTCTCCAGACACGCTCTTCCTCTGCTCTACGTAGAGACAGACGACGACGACGAGGAGTTTGAGGACGCCACATAAACACACCCTAAAGTATGGAGTAAGAAAGCTGTCAAAAATATTCATGCGCATAAAATTGAAATCCGTGCGTATTTGGTAAATCCGGTGCAATTTGGCTGTAGGTGCGCATAAAATATATATAAAAATATTTGTAAACTCTTAAATGAGTCCAGTCGTACATAAAATAAATTGTATTTTATCCATCAGAATACGAACTGAAAAATTACGACGTCAAGAATTACAATCACGAAATGAAAATTTACGATTACACTTTCATCAGTACGAAAACAAATTCACAGACGGAATTGGCCAACTGGCTCCACTATGTTATCTAACATATAGGTGCAATTTCCCGTTCAAAGGAGCTGTTTCTACACAATATTACACAGCAGCGTTCGGTTCCCGAATTCAAGACATTTTTACAATAGATTTCAATTAACCCACTTGTTGGTCGCTGTTGTAGCTTCTTGTGCTATTACTCTGTTTTTACTCTGCTACAAACTTGAGCATGTGCAGTCTTGATCTTGATCGATGTTTCTTCTGCTTGATGAATAATGTCTGTGAAGTGATGACGTATTTTTGACATTAAAATTTCGTCTGTGAATTCGTTTTCGTACTGATGAAAGTGTAATCGTAAATTTTCATTTCGTGATTGTAATTCTTGACGTTGTAATTTTTCAATTTGTATTCTGATGGATAAAATACACACAATATATTTTATGTACGACTGGACTGGTTTACAAATATTTATTTTATGCGCAACTACAACCAAATATGCACGGATTTACCAAATATGCATGGATTTCTGTTCTATGCGCACAAATATTTATGACAGCTTTCTTACTCCATACTAAACCCCCAGAGCAAACACCAGGCCTGGGGGAGTCTAAATAAATAATATAAGCATCCAAAATACTGAGTTATTGTTTCATGAGTAAAAGACGGGGAAGTAAACGGACCAGTGTGTTTTCAACCAGAGGAAATACAAGAGTCAGTTTTCTGTGTAACTGTCACAAACAGCCCATTGGTGATTCATGAGAGGATCATTCACACAGGCACTTTAATCCACTTTGCACTTTATCATTTTTACATTGCACTTTAATAACTCGGAGCACTTAGAACATTTGCTCATTTGCACATAAGACAATGTTGCACAGGCACAGACCCAATGCAACAAACAGTTAGAGTTCACATGTGAACTGCCAGCTATTAAATTACCTCATGTGCAATCGTAATTTTGGCACACACAAAGCTTAGAGTTTCAATGCTTTTTAATCAAGTTCATAAACATTTTCACTTTTCACTTCCTTTTGCACAATCAGGAAAAATTACCCCAAAAAATTCTAAAGTTGGGTTGATTTCCAAAAATGTTGATAAAAGAAAAACTGATTTCATCTTTGTGAGGCGCCCATGACTGAAGTTTCCGTATTTCGATTGCCTCTTTAATCCACGACGATGTTTCTTTCCTCTGTCCCAATGATGTTTGCTCCATCTCAGTCCATAATGTGCTTCTCTCTTTACAGGGGTCCAGTCAAGTGGTAACGGAGGGAAACAGGAGCAGATTTTTGACATTCAAATGTCTCTTATTCAGAAACTAGAGGGACTATTGACATAAGTAAAGTATCAGAATGTAGGAAAGAGTTACACTCCAACAGGGTCAAGTTAAACCTGTGATATTCTTTCAAGTTGTTGACAAAAAATTTTAAAAACTCATATGTCGGTAACAGAGGGAATGAAATATGCAGCACTTTTTGGGCAATAAATCCAAACAGTGATAACTCTTGGTTCTCACTTACATATCCTTAACAAACTGGTTTGAATATTTGCTTCATATAGTTTTCTACCATATGGTACAAGATTAGGTTGAAAAACCTCTTACTTTTTGACTCATGAGATTTTTTATTAAGAAAGGTCATGGTAACGGAGGGAAAAGTAACGGAGGGAAAAATTGTGCAAACAAGTAGAAGGTGCAGGATTTTACATCATTTGTCAGTTTTTTTCTTCCAAAATACTTTAATATTACTTCAAAATGAAAGGAAACTATTTCTATAAAAATATGTCAGTCCTTCCAAGCAAATTTTTATCATTTTAAATAATTTTTTTTGAAAAAATCATGTATCTTCATCAACAGTTCAAAGATGGAATAACACACAAGATATGATGAAATACATCCATTTATTTACATGATTTGCAGGTCTTTGAAATTTGGGAAATAATTTTGTTCCATGTTTCATACATGGTCTGTTTAAAACATATGGAACTTTAGAACCAAAAATGGTACAGAAAAAAGGTCAACAGTTTCATAAACTAGAGTACATATGTATCTGTTCAATACATTTTTATATCAGATGCATTAACTTGAATTTTTGGCCTTGTTGTTTACTTCTGCTTGACCGGGGCCCCCAGTTTTTAATTTTGGCCTCTGTGAATTTGAGTTTGACTCTCCTGATGTACATCATTCATGCAGTATTATTATAATCTTGTTTTGTTATTAATCATATGAAATGTGATCATGTGAAAGCGCTTGAACCTCTTTGTCATGAACGCAGTGATTTTTGTGGGTTGTGGAAAAGTGTGTAAGGGTCACAGCACATTCCAGTCTCCAGTCAGAACCACAGGCTGAAGATGAGTGAGCAGGTGAGAGCAGCGTCCAGAGGTCCAGAGCGTCAGAGGGACGCTTGCTCCTCGACAACACCAAAATTTCTCGTGCACAAACCCATCCTCATTGACTCAGCAGGTTTTTATTAAGTGGACAGGAACAAAACGATGTGCGGTCAGGATTCACCAGAAAAAAAGAATTTAGAGCGTCTTTATAAACGGACACTTCCATCTGACGTTATGGAGGACGAATGAATGTGCAGGGCGAGGCTCCAGAGACACAAGAGACACGAGATTTTCACTGCAAACATCCAAACACACACATCAGCCAGAAATCATGACAGACGAGCCTGTCCATGTCCTGTGTCCTCTGACCTCGACCTCACAGAGGACAAGTCTAAAACCTCTGACCTCGACCGTCACAGAGGAACAAAACCTCGTGACTGATCGACCGTCACAAGGACAAGTCTAAAACCTCTGAGCAGACTTGTCCACACGTCTCACCTGTCATGTCTCTTACACTCACTTCTGCCAAAAACTTTTAGAAAAACTTTGTCCTCAAATATCTGTTCAACAGAAATTCTGTCCTAAATACATGACCCTCAAACACTTCTTTTTAAAATGGTTTCAAACATCTGTCTACAAATACTTTTTCAAATTATTTATTTTTAAATTCACATAATCCAGGAAAACAACTGAAGTTTGTGAAATCAAATCTCAAAGATCCAAATCACATCTGGAGACATTTTTGCTCAGCTCTTGCTTCTTCTGCTCCGACATCTGACTGAAGTGTGTTTTTGTTTTTAGAGCCATGTTTGAACGCTGGGACCATCACGATGATAAAGTCTTCCAGTCGGTGGAATCTCTCTGAGACATGTCCCTGTTGCTCGAGTGATCTACACCAAGTCATTGGTCCTGCGGGGAGACAGTCCAGACCTTTTTGGCTGCTGACATGCTGTGGACCAGCTCGTCTGCTCTGCTTCAGTTCATGGAGGAGAACATGAGCCCAGAAAAACTGCATCGGCATCTGAAGTTTCTCGGTGTCGTCTGTCCAGCAAAACTCGGGATTT